CAGCGTTTAAAAGAGAACTGGAAAAATTCATGGTGGTTAAGTCCATTAATGGCTATGAGCCAGGACGGGTAAGGAATGGTGTCCCTAGCGTCTCTCTGTCAGAGGATGGAGATGGATGGCAGGAGAGAGATCACTTGATCATTGCCTGTTAGGTTCACTCCCTCTGGGGCACCTGGCATTGGCCACTGTCAGTAGACAGGTTACTGGGCTAGATGGACCTTTGGTCTGACCCGGTACGGCCGTTCTTATGTTCTTATGGGACGGGGGTGTGCAAAGCCCACCTGTGTACTCTCTGAGCTGGCTGCAGGGCCAACTGCCCCTGGGCCATGTTGCAGCAGCCTGAGGGTTGCTGTCATTTACCCCAAGGGGCTGAAGACACAGCAGAGGAGCAGCAAGATGCAGGGGTGTCCTGGCTGCACCCCCGTTTCCTTGCTACGCCAGCAGCGGGGAAGGGGAGTGACAGAGCAAAGCAGGAGCTCGTATGCTACCAGAGGACCCCCCCTTTTGCCCCTCTCGGGGCTGGATACGCTGGCTTTAGGGCCACCTTCTGCAGTGCACAGCGGCCGCACCGCGCTGGAGAATCTGGTCGAGTCTGAGAGAGCGTCCTCCCTCTAGCCTTTGTTCAGACACGCGTGGCCTGGTTCGGAGTGCTCGCTAGTTGTTGTTCATATTGCCTACCTGTTAGCCCCAGGCACGGCCCAGGGCCCCTGGTGCTAGGCGCTGGACAAACACGGTCTCTGCCCCCAGGAGCTTACGGATGGAAAGAGATGGGCAGGGGAGCCCAAGGAAACAATGAGGCAGCGCGGTCAGTGGGATCGGGCGGGGGCGCAGCGCCCCGGCAGCCTAGCAGAGCTGTAGTTCTTTGCAGCCGTCATGGCAAGGGAGAGTTTTAAGGAGGGATTTGAAGCAGGATGATGGGAACATTTTGTGGGTGTTGAGGGGAAGCTCTGCCCAGTCGTGAAGGGAGCAGGGGAGAAAGCAGGAAGGGGCTGGTTTGAAAATGTAATGACGGAGGCTGGGTTCATGGGCTGACCAGAGAGGGGAGCTGACACCTCCATAGCGAATGAGAGATGATGGGTCGGGGGGGGGGATAGACCATGACAGGCCTTGAAAGCGAAGACAAGCAGCTGATGTCTGATGGGATAGAGATTCCACTGAGGAGTCACTCCTGATTCACACAGGTGCAAATGAGAGCAAAGCACATAACCCACTTCAGTTCCCTGACACACTAACAGGACCCTTCCCTGATTCTAATCTTTAGGATCCAGATTCCGGCGACATCTACTGGCAGCCCTGAGCATTGCACCAGAACAATACAGCAAGAGTTTGACTCATAGAATCATAGAAGATCAGGGTTGGAAGGGACCTCAGGAGGTTATCTAGTCCAATCCCCTTCTCAAAGCAGGACCAACCCCAATTAAATCATCCCAGCCAGGGCTTTGTCAAGCCAGGCCTTAAAAACCTCTAAGGATGGAGATTCCACCACCTCCCTAGGTAACCCATTCCAGTGCTTCACCACCCTCCTAGTGAAATAGTTTTTCCGAATATCCAACCTAGACCTCCCCCACTGCAACTTGAGACCATTGCTCCTTGTTTGCCTCACTGTTACACTGTCCCAGCTGAGGCATGGTACTAGCCGGAAAGACAGACCCTTGGCCTTCTTGATTGTTGTGACCCTCTCACTGTCCCTGTGATCAGGGCTGGAAGGGCAATGTAGGGTGTAAAAGCTATTTTACAAGACAGACAAGTAATCCCTCCCTCCCCTTTTTCTGGATCTACTCTGGAGTGCAGGCAGGTTCTTGCCACCTGTCTGTGGTGTGCAGAGAAACTCCTGCTTGTATAGATTTCATGGGAGTTGCTCAGCAGGGCTGTTCTGATACCTTCTCTGAACTGGGGACATGGAATCCCCTAGAGGTCTAGCACCTATTATAGGCCGGCCTCAGGCATAAGCACCACGTTTTTAAATGCATTTGGGTGCTTAAAAATACAGCGAAGCAGCTTGTAGGATTTTCAAATGTGGCTGGCGCCTTTGAAAATCCCACAAGGTGCTTAGCTGCATTTTTAGGCATCTCAATACCTTTAAAAGTCTAGACCTAAATGCAAACGTATCTCAGCTGGGTCTCGCTTGCTGTCATGTGAGTTTGAACCAATTCCAACGAAGATGCAAAGCTGACATTTGTCCATGCCAGCCTTGGAAAATTTCCCCCTAGAGGAGACAGCTGTTTAACGGAAGTCTCTGTTTGTGTTTTAGGAGAGAAGTCTCCAGAATGTGTTGACAACACAGGTAAGAATTCTCCTTTCCACTCTGATCTCTGGTAGTCCCAGGGACGGGCCAGATGCTTTTAATTTGATACATTACTTGAAACATCTGACAGTGGATCACAAATTAAATATGAGTCAGCAATGTGATGCAGCTGCAAAAAAAGCTAATATCCTTCTGGCATCTATTAACAGGAGTGCCATATGTAAGACAAGGGAGGTAATTGTCCCGCTCAATTGGCAATGGTGAGGCCCCAGCTGGAGAACTGTGTCCAATTCTGGGTGTCACACTTTGGGGAAGATGTAAACAAATTGGAAAGAGTCCAGAGGAGAGCAACAAAAATGATCGAAGGTTTAGAAAACCTGAGCTGGGAGGAAAAGTTAAAAAAACTGGGCGTGTTTAGTCTTCAGAAAGAAGACTGAGGGGGAGCTGAGAACAGTCTTCAGATACGTTAAGGGCTGTTATAAAGAGAACAGTGATCCATTGTTCTCCGTGTCCACTGCAGGCAGGACAAGAAGTAATGGGCTTAATCTGCAGCAAGGGAGATTCAGGTTACAGATGAGGAAAAACTTGCTAACTCTCAAGGTAGTTAAGCTCCACAACAGGCTTCCAAGGGAGGTTGTGGAATCCCCTCACTGGAGGTTTTCAAGACCAGGCTGGACAAATCCCTGTCGGGCTGGTTTAGATTTACTTGGCCCTGCCTCTGCACAGGGGACTGGGCTTGATGACCTTGCGAGGTCCCTTCCAGCCTGACATTTCTATGATTTCTTCATACTCGATAAGGTTGGCAGCACCTAGGTAAATAAGCAGCCTGGTTTTTAGAGGCGCTGAGCATGCCTGCATCTGTAACTTTCACTCTATGCATCCGAAGAAGTGAGGTTTTTACCCACGACAGTTTATGCCCAAATAAATCTATTAGTCTTCAAGGTGCCACCAGACTCCTTGTTGTTTTTGTAGATGCAGACTAACACGGCTACCCCCTGATACTTGAGTATTCTGAGCATCCATTGGGTCACCACTCAGTGTGGATTTAGGTGCTTAATATTCTCCTGGCCTCTGAAAGGTTATTCAATGCACTAGCTCACATGTTTTCTTTCCTTAGTTGCAGGTAGGAGCGTCAGGGTGTCCGGCAACATGAGCCCTGCGTTCGTCGGTGGAATTGTCCTGGTCAACATTGCTGCTCAGAAACTCTTCGCCAATTTCAAACTCATCTTGATTTTGTAAAAAAAAAAAAAGTACTCAAAAAAAATAAATGGAGGTGGGGTCCTTTACTGGACGCTGTGCTGTGTACTCCTTGAACATGGTGGGCAGCAGGGCTGCTACTAGCAGGTCAGGCTTCTGTACCAGGTTTGGGCTGGCCCCAGGGGCTCCATTACAGAGATACACGACCGTAGCCCCATTTAGAGACTTTCCTACCTGCCAGGTGGGCTGGTCTCATGTGGCGCCATCTACTGGCTGAACAGTATCATCATTCCATTCTGTGTCCCCCTTTAAGTTTTACATTCCTACCTTTTATAAAATTTACACTGTTAAAGTTCCATAGGTACCCGTCTGTTAAGTGTCTCGGAATTGTGTTGGGTTTTTTATTATATGATTCAAACACATCATGACTAAGTCATTGGGCTGTTCATTAGTTGGAGCAACTGGCTGTGGTCATAGAAGATCAGGATTGGAAGGGACCTCAAGAGGTCATCTAGTCCAACCCCCTGCTCAAAGCAGGACCAGTCCCCAGACAGCTATTTACCCCAGTTCCCTAAATGGCCCCCTCAAGGATTGAACGTACAACGCTGGGTTAGCAGGCCAAGGCTCAAACCACTGAGCTATCCCTCCCGTCCAATCTAAAGATTGGAATCTTTGAGTTCTTTTTCTCTTGCCATCTGAAGGAGGATCCAGGACTGTGCAAAACTTTATGGGTGAAGTTTCCCCCTGTACAGAGGCCCAGAAACCACTCAGGTCCTGTGTGAGCCCTGGGTGTATTTTCTCCCGCAATTATTAATTCTAAAACTAGGGGCAAATCTACACCATAAAGCTTCAGGAAGATCTCTACAACTTCGTGATGCTGGGAATGGGTGCACAGTCCCCCTCAAGGATGTGATTCATAACACCCACTGCTGGATAAATCCATGTAAGATGAGACCAGCAATAAGGAACACACAGGCTCAGATAGGGTGGTCATATGGTTGAGACACTATCCTGGGTTCGGGGTTCAAGAGATGACTAGTTTATCATGGGGACTTCAATCTGGAGGACACTCGCTGGACACCTACTGCGGCCAGTAACAAAACTTCCTTGGAATTTCTAAACATAATAGATAATAATTTCTTAACACAGAAAGTCCTGCACCCAGCACGGAGTAACTCAATACTGGATCTCATTCCGACAAAGAAGAGTTAATTGGTGACCTAAAAATTAGCAGTTGCCTAGGTACCAGTGATTATGATCAGGTTGCATTTACCTTGTGCAAACAGAAAGTGGCACTTACGAGTCATCCGTACATTTGCAACTTTAAAAGGCCAGTTTTCCATTGCTGGCATAACTGACTAAGAACATAAATTCAAAGTGGGAAACGTTGATGAAAACTGGGCATTGTTCAAAATATCCTAAAAGATACCCCGAAAATCCACAATTACACACACATGAAAAAAAGTTATGCTGGGCAAGAAGCCATCCTGGTTTAAAGGAGCTGTAGAAATGGCAATGAACTATACAGATATAAAAACAACAAGGAGTCTGGTGGCACCTTAAAGACTAACAGATTTATTTGGGCATGATGCATCTGAAGAAGTGAGGTTTTTACCCACGAAAGCTTATGCCCAA